TCTCCCTCCCTGTCCTCACAAAACCCATGACAGATCTCAGAAGAGTGTGTGCAGGGCCAGGGTGGGGGATGGAGAGAAAAGTGAATGGGAAAGAGCAGGAGGGGAACTGGCTGGAGTGTTGATGCCACCTATCTTCATCCTGGTGCTGGCCACACAGATGTACAAACAGGTACTTAGGACATACACATTTTTTGTACAGAAATTATAATGCAGCTTTAAAATAAAGGACCTGGGAGAACTAGTCAGCTGAGAACTCTTTTTTGCCAGCCTCACCCCTCCTACAGCTGTTACTTTGAACCCTTTGGTGACCCTTCCTGATGTCTCCCCTTCCCTCCTGTATCCTGCCCCTCCCCTGGCTGCTGGCCCCTCATTGGCTTGCAATGAAATGCTCCTCCCCCACCTGACCACTTCCTAGCTTCTTCTGTGTTGGGGGATGGGAGGTGAGGGGGAGCCTCCTGGCTTCCTCTCTCCCAGAATGCCAACAGTTCAATTCTTGCCTTCTACCTGGTTTATGACCACAGCTCCCTTGTCCTTCTCCTTTCTCTTCCTCCTGGCCACCAGATTTTCATTCAAGTGCACATCTCCTTGCCCCCTCCCCTAATCCTTGTCCCACCTTGCAGGTGCTGGGCTGATGAAGTCAGGTGAGTGAGCACTGAAGTGGCTGGGCTGAGGAGAATGACAATGCCTGGTTCCCAATTTATAGATGAGGGAACCAGGGCTCAAGGATGGTGAACTGCTTGCAGGTAAGGAGTAGAACCTTCTGGATCCATGCCCACTTCGGCAGAATCTGGTCCCTGCCTCCTCCAGCCTCAGCTGCAGTGGACTGCTTGATCCTCCCCACCTCCTTCCACTTGGAACTCCCTCTGGGCCTTTGCACGTGGGAGTTCTCTACTGGGAATGTCCTTCTCCACCTCACCCCCAGCAAACTCCTACTCCCATTTCAAGGCTCAGGTCAAATATCTCTGAAACACCTTCCTGGACACCAGACACCTTCCCTTTTTCCTTTGTTCCTAGTTGACACTTGGATTGGGAAGAATCATTTGTTGACCTGACTCATTTTCCTGAGAGGTTCTGAGCCCCTGGAAGCCAAAACTCACACCTCAGTTAGACAAGTGTAGGTACCACTAGTGAGCGAGTTTGAGACACCTGGCTAGAGTGGAGTGTAAGAGTGTGGACTGTGGGACTAGGAGATCTTTTCTGTGCCTCAGTTTTCTCATCTATACAATGGGAATCAAAGCACGCTAACCTCATTGCATTGTCACCAGCAAAGTCCTCCACGAACTCAGCCCTACGTCCGTCCAATCATGGTTTTCCAATCCCGACAACCCTGGGAAGTAGACATCTTCACTCCCACTTTTCACAAGAGGAAACAGACCCAGTGTCCAAAGAGCCCACGTGGGCCAGTTGGCCTCCAAATGTCCAGTGTCACAGAGGAGCCCACATGGATCTCCAAAAGTCAACCCTGTACTCCCCATTCCTCACCCCTGCACTCTGTTCTACTACTGCCTGGCATGCAAACACCCTTGGCATCACACAAGAGGTCAGTGGTTTGTGGTCTGAGTGAAAATGACTCACCAGGTGGTATGATTGCCTTCTCTGGTCTGGGCAAAACTTCCTGACAATTGTTTGGAGTATATGATAAACTGTTTAGGTGATCCATCCTGGTCACCCTTAAGGCCTTGGCTTAATGTCACTTCCTTAATGTCAGCCACAGCCCCATCCCACACACATTGACTCTCTGGGGAAATGCAGGAAGATAAATTAGAAACTAGGGAAAAGAATGAAGAGGGACAGGGTGACTTGGGAAGCAGGACTCTGATTATAGCTTTGTTGTTTTGAGACAGGGTCTTGTTATGTAGCCCAGACTGACCTTGAAATTGCAATACTCCTGCTTCAGCCTCTCAGAGTACTGGAATTATAGGCACGCACCACCACACCTGGCTTTGATTACAGCTTTCTGTCTTTTCTGATTTTCATATATGTAAACACCTCACATTCAAAAAATAAAATTAAACCAAATTTTGTGTGTGAGTATTAACCCTTTACGGAAATCGATGAAATAAACACACAGAGTAAAGAATGACTTCAGAGCCAAGTGCAGGTGGGTCTAGCTACCTGGAAAGCAGAAATCAGGAGTTCCATGGTTTGAAGCCAGCCTGGGCAATGTCAGGGTATGACAATATCTGGAGTAAGATGTATGCTAAGAACAAGAAAAAAGTATTTTTAAGTTTGTTCCTCCATAGGTTAAATTTTGGTAGTGATACAATTATTTTAGCTGGGTACCAGTGGCTTGTGCCTGCAATCCTACCTACTCAGGAGACAGAAATCAGGAGGATCATGGTTCGAAGTCAGCCTGGGCAAATAGTTGTGAGACCCTATCTTGAAAAAACCCTTCACAAAAAAAAAAGTGGGGGGAGGGGGTTGGTGGAGTGGCTCAACATGTAGGGCCTGAGTTCAAACCCCAGAACCACAAAAAAAGAAAAGAACTATATATATGTACACACACTTATTTGTGGGCTACAGACAATAAGTAAACACATTAGTGTCATTTGGAGCTACAGTTTTCAGATAAAAAGATGGACAGGGACAGGTTAGTTCCCACAGGGCCATATTGGCAACTCTGGACTATGTGCTCTGAGGTGTGGCAGGGAAGGGTGGGGCTGGGGCTCCCTGCTGCTTTTCCCCAGCACCTCATTCAGTAAGTGTGGGTTGACCAACTGACCACTGGCTCCCCACTCACCGTCACCCAGCCTGGGCTGATCTTGCTAACCACTCCGGGGCCCAGTGGGGCTCTGTGGCTTTGGGTAACACACTCTGATCCTTGATGCTTGTGAATATAAGGACTCACATTTCCCTAAACCACACACATGGGGGACCAGCAGGAGACCCTCTTCCAGGTCCATGAGCCAGGCTGTGGGGTCACATGATCTTCAACTGCTAGCTCTGGGAGGGACTCTGAGGGATGCCCAGGACTCTAAAATGCCTGAGAGGAGCCTCCTAGAGCCAACCACCCAACCCTCCCAGGGCTCAACAGTCACCACATCGCTCTGCTCCCTCTGGATGAAACCTGCCAACAGTGGCTCCTGGGCTAATGAAAAGTAGGAGACTGAGGTAGGAGGATCATGAGTTCAAGACCAGCCTGGGCTACATAGTGAGACCACCTCAAACAAGTAAAAGTGCGTCGTGCTGGGTAAATGCAGTGGTAAACACAGTCCTTTGCAAGCTGGGGAGACAAAGGCAGGGAAGGCTGAGCGTGGCCCTTTATCAGGGCTAGACTGAAAGAACTCCCAGAGTCTCCCAGAGTCACCCAGAGCACAGCCCACCCTGGAGCCTAACTCCAAGACTGTCTCTCCTGGAGTTCTGTCATCAGTGATGAGAAGGAGAGTATGACCTCCCAGGTGAGACAGCGTGGGCTCAAATTCTGGCTCTGTCATCAGAGCTGTGGCCCTGGACCATTCTTGTGGGAAGGCAGGACTGTGGAGAGACCCTAAATGGCAGGCCTCTGGTGTGGGTGACACAATGTGGTAAGGAGTCTAGAACCTTCCTTTGAGGTCTGGACCTCACGGGCACAGCTGGAGTGCAAACTCTTAGCCCACCCAACACTCGTGAATCAAGAGGCTGCACTTTCACAAGACCCCCAGGTGCCACCTGTGTACACTGGAATTCTTAAAGCCCCTGATGTACCAAGCAATGTGAGATGACAGTGGCCCAGCCACACCTGCCTCCTGAGGGTGAGGGCTTGTTCTTGGCTCCTGGCAAAATCCACTTTCACATCAGCTGGTGAAAAGCCCAAGGGCAAAGAGGTGGACAAAGGCCTGCCCACGTCACTTTATCCTTTTCTACTTTATTACTTCAAATTAACAACCACGATAAAGCTCAAAAAAGTCCAATATTTACACAGGAAAAAAGTACAAAATTCCCCCCAAAGTTCTTCAGTATTTTTTTTTTCAGTTTTTTAAATTACAAAGTAATAAAAAGCTTTGCTCTTTAATTTAAAAAAAAAAAGGAAAAGGGGAGAACAGAGGTAAATAAATTAGGAAATACACACATGGAGAAAACAAACAAAAATAAAGAAAGAAAAAAACCAGGTGTTAAGTAGGAAGGATGGAGAAATCCAACACTTAGCCCTGACCCTAGGCTCTTCCTCAGAAAAGCAGGGCCCAGAGAGAGAGGGGGACCCCAGGTTAACAGTAGGACCAAGGGAGTAATTGATAGCTCAGGCCAAATGCTATCTGGGAGCAGTCTCCATGGACTCTGCCCGAAGACCAGGAATGGAAGATGGGCTGTCACAGGCTGGTATTTGGGGACAGGTGGTGGTGAGGACCCTATACCATGAGGGATGTACAGAGCACTGTCCACCCCCATCTCCTTTTTAGGGGGATGAGAACAGAAATTTGGCCTGGTAGGTAGGGCAGGGCACCTGCTGCTCTGGGAAAGACAGGGCAAACATGTACACGCACACAAGGCATCACTGGCACCACCTCACAGGCCACCCGCTCAAGGTCTTCACAGAGAAGTGAAGGAGGGACCTGAATGCACAGGGGGATGTTGGGAAAGCTCACAGCCGCTGTCATCTCAGAGGCGCTGAGGACTGTGCGTGTCTCCTTGGATCAAGGCTCATGAAACCCAATGGGACTTGTCTTCGACTGGCCAAACCAGCTCTAGACATGAGCTCCTCCTCACCCAGTGGCTGCATCTCCAACTTGGAGAGGGCTCCTCCCCTTGGCAAGTGGTGGGAACAGGTGGCTGGGTGGGGCCTTCACATCTGGCTCACGAGACCTGGCATCATCAGGGGAGTGTTTGGCAGCCTGAAGGTTGGGAGCAGTGGGCAAGGCAAGGGGATGGGGATCCTTGGTGCCAAGGGCATCCCATCTTTGCCATTGGAAAATAAATCAAAGAAAAAAATCCATCGTCGATTTTCTGCTGGGTTTTTTTTTTTTCTTTTTGTTCATTTGAGCGTTTTGGTTTTTTTTTTCCATCATTTTTTGTTGTGTTTTTTAAAAGAAAATACAGTGAAGACACTAGAATGAGGAAGAAAGAAGACAGATTAGGTGCCCAGTCGCCTCTGTCTACCCGTCAGCTCCTGTCTCCTTGTCCTGGAGGTCATCCATCTTAGCGCCCAGAGTGTGGCTCAAGGCTCTGCCCAGACACCTGTTCAGCACACAGTAGGTGTGCCACTGTCCTGTAACTGGAACAAAATCTCCCTCTTCTATCCTGGTGGGTGGCCACTCTGGCCACACATCTGCAAGCCTTGCCATGGAAAGACTGGCTCCTGGGCCTGTGGCCTGAGGTCTGACATAAGAAAGCTGTCCCACACCCCAGCTCTGTCTGAGGGTAAATTCTGCAGTGACTCATGCTCAGGGTGTCCTGGTGTGAGCCAAGTCCCTTGAAGGGTGAACTACTGCCTACTGCTATACACATGCCCCAAGGAGCTTGCATCGCCAACCACCACACACGTGAAGAGTCCCCAGCCCCTTCCCAAAGCCAGACCACTGCAGAGTCCCTCCACACTGCCTCAAGACCTCAAGTCAGCCTGACTCTGCTCCCCTGGCCACAGGACCTCTCCTGGGCTGCAGAGGCTACTACAGGATTTGTACAAATGAACTTGTTTACCAGCCCACACACTGAGGTGGGCTTTGGAAAGGGAGGACTGGCCCGAGGTTTCTAGGAGAGTTAATGCATACAGGGCCAAGACTGAGCAAAGGAAGCCTCAGTCCCATGTCAGGCTGACTCTGAGGTCTTAAGGTCCTTTGAGAAGCCTTGGTTTGAGAGGTACATGGTTCTATCTGCCACTTCCTCCACCCTGTCCACCACACACTGGCCTCCTCCTGGGCTCTTGGTGTTTCAGACCTGGCCAGGCTGGGCTGCCTCTACAGGCGTCACTCACCTAACGAAACACTGGTCCGATGGTGGCTCTCCTCACTTCCCAAGATGGTCAAACGGCACGCTTGTCTTCAAGGAGTGGGCAGAGAGGTAAGTGACGAGGCAAGTGCCTAAGCTACTAGCATCACATGGGCAAACCTCTCCCCACCAGTTCCTCACACTAAGGGAAGGGTGTGTATGTGGGCCTAGTGACCCTAGATGTCCCTTCTCTGCCCAGGGAGGCAGAGAAGGCTCCAGGCCACACCCAAGTCAATGGAGGCAAGATGTGGACAGAACTCCTGTCCACCTCTGTCAGGCCCCCTTTCCAATTTTCCTAGTCCCAGTAGGGCCGAGAGGTGGCCACCAGACAGGTCCTCTCCCATTCCCCATCCCGCGCTCTTGCCAGTGCTGACAGGGAGCACCGGGGGCTTACTGAATGACAGCGACTGTGTATTAGCACCTTGTCTTTGAGTCCCCTGCTGCTTAACCAGGCTGGGCCCAAGCAGTGAGGGCTGGATCCCAGGGCTACCACTTGCTGGGGCAAATGACTTCTCTGGGCTCAGTTTCCAGCTTTGCTCCATGAAATGGGGCTAATTAGACCCCGGGACTAACTGAAGCCAAATAACAGCCCCACTGAAGGAGCCTGTTCTAAGATGACAGAGTCAGGGTGAGGACAGAACAGTGCAAAGAGGCTGGTTTCAAACCTGGGGTTCCAGCTCTGCCATAGACCAAGAGGGGATGAGATGGGGATGAGGCAAGGGCCACTCACCTGTGAGGCTGAAATCCGGGAGACCTCTTGCCGCCCAGTGAGATCTGATGAGGAGACGTTGGCAGGAGCGCCGCGGTGCAGCCTCATGCTCACCTTCCTCTCCCGGTCGGCCCGTGAGATCGCTCTGGGAGAAGTATTGCCTGGAGGAAGGGAGGCCAGGGAGCCACCCTCAGTGTGGGCACAAGAGGACCCCCTGGCCCTCCTGAGTCCAGCCCACAGGAGGACTGGAGGACTATACTGACCAGCTTGCTGGATGCGGGAGCATGGGGTAGAAGCCACAGGCTCGGCTGCACTGCGGAGCCGGTTGGCAGTGGCTCCCGTGGGTGGGCCAGGGGGCAGGGCCCGGGTTGCAGATCCCCGCAGTTGCCCCATTCTCTCCTCTCGCTCGTGTTCTCGCCTCTCCCGGTCCACGTCCTCGGGGTTCCGGGCTGCACCCTGCAGGGACGCATGAGGAGATCTGGTCAGCCCTGTGAGGCCAAGGTGCTCAGTGCCTCAACATCCTCACAGGCCGGAACAGGGAGGGAGGCTAGGTGAGCATCTCAAGAACCTTCTGGCCAGCCTCCTTCCCACAGAGCAAGAATCCACAACCCAAGAGCACAAGAGATGACCCTTGATCAAAGTGCAGAGAAACAAAGTCACAAGACACCCAGAGGAGGTAGAAGGTAGGATGGAGAAACAGAGGAAGTTGTCTGCCCTGGCCTCATGGCTGGAGTTGGGGCCAGAGAGCTGATACCCCCAGGATGACCAAGCACACCTCTTGTCTCTCCCAATCTGGGCCCTCTTTGTGCTAAGAGCCCTCAGCTGCTTGAGTTTTCCAAACCTAATAGAGAAGGCATTCAGAGGCCCACATCCAGGTGCTTGCAAAGTGTGGAGGGTGTCCAGAGAGAAAAGCACAGGCTGAGTTAGCACTTGTGAAGGCAGGGCTAAGACTTCACCCAGGTTCTCTAAGTGCCCAGTCAGGGGCTCTCTTCACCAGAGGGCAGTCCTTCCTGAGCTACCAGACTCATCCATGGCTCCTGGCTGGCACTGTGGGGCTGCAACCAGGAGGCCCAGGGAATCCAGGCAAATGCCACTGGCTTTGGAGCAGGAGCTCGGGTAGCTGAGAAGCTGGGCTGAATGCCCCCAAGGAGGAAAGACCCAGCAGGCAAGGCTAAAGAAGAAGGATGCCATGAGCCACCAGGGGCCCTGCCCTCTAGCCACTGCTTCCCCCAGTGCAGGATGAAGGGAGAAAGGCCCAGGGAGGAACATGGCATGGAAGCAGCACCAAGCTGCATTACCTAGCTGGTCCTGGGGCCATCCGCAGGGAAGGGCAGGGGGCTGGCGTGAAGGGGGCTGCATCTGTGGAGGAGAGAGCTGTGGGCTAAGTTGGGGGCCTGCTCCTGGGCCATGGGGTATGGGCAACCCCGTCTTTCCCAGAAACTGGCTGAGAAGGCCCTGCTGCCCTGGAGAAATGGGCTGAGGAAGGTCTGGGGGATGTGGCTGGGATCAAAACAACCTCTGAATCCTAGTGGGGAGGTGTACCAATTCATTGCTGGCACTTGGCTCCTTGCTGGGTTCTGCTCTGAGGCAGGCTCTGCAGTCAGAAGCTGGGCCAACAGTCTTATCCTTATCTGGCCTGATCACAGAGCCTCATGACCAGTTACAGCAGAGCTGGGGTTTGAATCCAGGCCCTGACACCTAGTCCCATTCTGCACCCCAAGAGGATGCTGCCCAGAGAGACTGCCTTTGCAGAAACCTCCCCAGTCCTCCCACCCAGAAGCCCACCAGAAAGGCTTGGGAAAACTGTGACTCCCCCCAACTTCCTCACAGGCTGGCCAGAACCACAGCCCCATGGAAAAGAAACAAGAACTGTGGCACCTACTGTTCCTTCTGTGGGCAGGGGTGAACTGACTCAGCAAGGCAGGAATCATTTCGTCCCTTGTTGGGGAAACTGAGGCTCAGCTAAATGATTTGTCCAGAGGTGCAGTGCTCTGTAGCCAGTAGCTGACTGTGCAGCTGGAGCTCCAGCCCTCAGTAACCCCAGCAGGTTTGGGTCACTGTTAGCCCCAAAAGGGTTACTCACCATGTTTGCATCCGACCCAAGCGACGCATCAAGAAATGCAAGCCAGGGAGTTTTTTTGGTCTTTATTTTCCCACAAGAAAATACAAAAGATCGATATCAAAGTCATATGGACCTCTGTCCTTGGCTGTGTGGAGCTTCCTCCTGGCCATCTGGTTGGACCTCAGAACATAAGTTTCTGTAGGTGCTGAGAGTAGTAGCATCACGAGTTTTAGGCACCTGAGAATTCCAGTGCTGCAATGCTGAACATGGAGAGGCCACTCCAAGGTCAAGGCCAATATCCTTCCCACGGAGAGTCCACAGACCGCAGTGCCCAGCATGGAGTCTGTCTGCTGGGAAATGCTGGTGATGACTTCTTGCGGGATGGGTGAGAGGGCCTGACCTTGAGCTGAGGGCTGTGACATCACCCTACATGTTCTACAGATGCTCCTGCTGTTGGTGTCATGATGGTGACGGGGTCAGACATGGGTGGAGGATGAGGCTGTCAGCACCTTTGCCTGGCTTCAGACTCCAGAGCCAAAGGACCCCAAGGAGGGGGGGTCAGAGTGCCAGCAATGGGGTGAGGAGGGCGCACCTAGCCTGGCCGAAGATCTTGTCGGCAGGACACTCCCACGAGGGACATCCAAAGCAACTGTCCACAGAACTTTCTGGGATGACAAATGTTCACACCTGCCTTGCTGGATGTGGCAGCCACTAGACATTCACTTGTAGCTCCTGAGAACTTGAAATGTGGCGAACATGGCTGAGGAACTATAGTTTCCGTTTTGATTCACTTGTGTTAAAGGTTAGCACCACATTGCCAGTAGCTACTATAGTGGATGACACAGGTATAGGGAATGCAAAACCCATTCTTGAAGCTGCACTGAGCCAAAGGGATAAGCCCATCACAGACCTGGACCCAGGGATGCTCTTCTATAGTGAGTGTCTAGTGCCCAGGGTCTTGAGCAATACTCTGTGATGAGGAGTTGGCCCCAATGGCCAGGTTCTCGACCACACTCCAAGCTGGAAAGTGTTCTACTGCCCACCTCTCACCCCTACCAAGGAGGGCCCAGAGGCCTCTCCCTAAGGTCCCTGGCTTTTGAGACCCCCTCTTTCTCTGCCTGATCTCTGTTGCCTGCCTTAAAGAACAGGACCAGGCCATTGACTGGGACCCAGAGAGAAGAGCCCGAGACCAATGTGCCAATTTCAGCACCCAGTTGGACGAGGTCTCAGTCCTCAGCATCTAATGGAGTGGGCCAAGGGCCACCTTGTGAAAAGAGATGCATACCAGGATGCAGCATAGGGATGCATTTAATGAGTTCAGGTTCGATATAGAGGCCACCACCAAGGTCTGGTCCTGGTGCCTGTGCCCACAGGGGCCCTCCTAGGCAGAGGCCATGCTCCATTCTTCAGACTTGTCCTGGCTCTCAAGCAGCTGGTTCATTCCTGAGAATCCCTTGCAGGGCCTTTTCTGTCATACCCTTTCCACTGAAGAGCCACCTCTCGGGAACAGGGTACCACTCCCACCATCCCAAGGGATGCTTCCTCAGGCCTGGCTCTGATGGCTCAGGCACACCTCATTATGTCAGAACTGGGGCCCTGGAGTCCAGACACAGGCCAGAAGTTTTGAGGGGGCAGCTCTTCAACCTCCTCTGCCTCCTCCATGGGCCTATCTGGGGGGCCTTGGGTGCCCAGGGGCGCCGGGCACCTGGAAAGAACAGAGAGAGCACAGCTGTGGCTCAGCCTTCATGTTTGCTGGTCAAGTAGCAAATCCTGGAAGGGGCAGGCTTTGTAGGGTCCTTACCAGTATGTGGGTGAGCACATGGGCCCAGCGCACGGCCAGGGGTGGGGGCAGGGCGGTGCCATAGCTTCACGGTCACGGGCCTGAGCCTGGCTGGAGGAAGCCCCCTTTTCCAGAAGAGATGTGAAACAAGATACACAATTTCACGGATTCCAGAGCTCCAGACCCGGCTGGCCAATGCTCATCCCCACCCCACCCCCAGGATGCTTAAAAGAGGGAGATAGAATAACTGCCTAGCAAGACCCAGGGTCCCATGACCAAGAAGAAAGAAGCCACTGTGGATGGGTCCAGACTGGCCAGGGGGGCCTCAGTGAAGGTGGCCGCCTGATATGAGCAGAACAAGAGGAGCAGGATGGTGCAGGCAGCGGCAATCAGGGCAGCAGGTGGACCTACCCGTGCCAACCATGCCCCACCACAGGCACTCAAGAGGAACTTGAGGCGGGGCTGGGTCCTCCCTGACCTGGAAGGAGGTTGTACCCTGCCTGAACCCTGTCCCCCATGGTGGCACATGCTGTCTGCATGGATGCGGCTGGAGAGGAGGGCATCTGGGACACCAGCAAGATCACTTGCACTGTCCAGCTCATACCTCCTGTTTACCGGGAGCCCTGCCTGCCACCAGGTCACCGTGGCCTTATGAGTCAGGGCCTTCCCAGTCCAGTCCCCCAAGCCCGCCTCAGTATCCAGGTGACTCACGAATTTGAGCATGTTCCAGTCAAAGACGTAGTCGTAGGAGAAGCCCTGGCGGTGGAAGAGGTTGCGGAAGAGCTGGCGCAGGTAAGAGTAGTCAGGCTTGTCGTCAAACCGCAGGGAGCGGCAGAAGTTGAGGTATGTTGAGAATTCGGCTAGTGGGGGGGGTCACAGAGGACAGAGGAGGCCACCGTGAGGCCCATGTTCCCAGGGCCCCTAGCAGTCACTACTGTCCTAGCCACCCACTGTCCCTACAAATACTTTCAACCAAAGAAGGGGCAGGATGAAGAAAGAACAGAACTACATCCTCCGGCCTGTGAGAAAGTCAGCCGCCTGTGAGCAAAGCCACTTCCAACAGCACTCTGGAAGAGCCAAGCTCACGATCCTCCACCTGCTCTGACGAAGCATTCTGGGGTCATGGAGACCAGGGCAATAGGACACTCATGGTCCCGCCATGGCCTAAGCTACAGAAAGGAGCTTTTGCTTCCTCCTCAAATGGTCTGTGTCAGGAGATAGCCATCAGGAGATATGGCAAAAGTGTGGGCTGGGGACATTTGGTATGTAGCAGCATGGCCTAGGGAGTCCAAGTCTCCCCACCAGTGCTGTGGAGCAACAGAGAGCCAAGGGTCACGGTAACCACATCTGGGCTTGGGGTAGCCTCATCCTGCCCATAGAAAGAGGACCCCCCCCCCCACTAGACTACTCACAGGGGTAGCCTTTGCAAAGAACCTCGATGGGCGTCGACATCTTCTTCTCACTGATCCGCTCATACTTCTGGCGCTTGGTGGCCGCTTTGAGGCCCTGCCAGGGCAGGGAGCCCAGGTTGAAGTACATGAGTACATAGCCCAGACTCTCCAGGTCATCTCGACGGCTTTGCTCTGCAGAGTTGGAGGCGAGGTGAGGGACAGGTCCACTTAGGCCCCTGGCTCCTCCTTAGCCTGTGTTCTTCACCATACACCTAGCATTCCCCAGCTCCCTAAAACCCTGTTATAAACAACCCTGTCCACCTCCTCCTACAGAGGACCCAAGGCGGTGCTTTCTCAACTCAGTTTGGGCTCAGTTTTTCCAGCTCAGGCACCATTTACTCCACAACTGTGAGTGGGCACCCATCGCCCCCTCTCCTGGCCCACCCCACAGAGGGAAAAAAGCTATGACATGAGGTTCAACCTGGCTCTGGAATTTGCTAAGCTGCACACCCTTAAGCAGCCTCCATTACCCAGTGACAACAGTGGGAAAATGCTGTCAGCCCTCAGCAAGGAGGCCTCAAGAGTGAACAGGGCCATATGAAGATGGATAGCACACCAGCTCTGCTTATGAGGGGGAGACATGGACAAGCCCAGGCTCAGGGCAGATGGGCTAGAGATCTTCCTAGCGAGGTGGGCGGGGGTGGGAACCAGGCCAGCTCACTCACCGATGCCCAGGTGGGTGTTGATGGAGGCGTAGCGCGCCGTCCCGGTCAGGTTCTTGTTCTCCCGGTAGGGGATGTGCTGGTGGGTGCGGGCGTCCCTGTACTTCTTGGCCAGCCCAAAGTCGATGATGTACACTAGATTGCCCTTCTTCCCCAGCCCCATCAAGAAGTTGTCAGGCTTCACGTCCCGGTGGATGAAATTCTTGGAGTGGATATATTCAATACGGCTGATCTGGGCAGGGGAGGAAACAGCAAATCATTTGCCAAGTGTTCAACTGCAGGGCTATGACCAGGCATGATGGCAAATGCCCGTAATTCCAGCTTCCCAGGAGTGGGAAATAGGAGGATCATGGTCTGAGGCTGACCCTGGGCAAAAACTCAAGACCCTACCTGAAAAATAACTAAAGCAAAAAGGCTTGGGTCTGAAAGCTGGGGCCACAGGGACAATCAGGTCAGGAGGAGCATGGAGGAAGCCTAAACTCAGCAAAAGCGAGAGAGATGGAGTGCAAAAGACAGGACTATCACTTGGCTACCAAAGGATGCCAAAGTCAGCAGACACACAGCCCTTTCTTCCTTGTGATTTTTTAAAAACTTGGATGAACACCCATGCTAGTGCTATGTCCTCTGGACCTCAGGCTCCCCAGGGCTGAGCACCTTCAGGAGCTTTTGTGAGTTTCACCCTCTGGGTATCTGATGACCCTCCTCTTATATACACGTGGCTCCAAAATGCAGGGCATTCACAGACATTCTGTAGGCAAGCCACAGACCAAGATCACAACAAGTGCACACCCCAGGTCTCCAAAATTCTATGGCTTTACGTAACTTACATACGTGTTATTTTGTTTTTTTTTTTTTTTTTTGCAATGTTGAGATGGAATTGAGGACCTCACACATGGTAAGCACACAATCTGCCAACTGAGCCACACCCCAGCCCTGGTTTTAGCTTTCTATCATTTTCTTGTATTGCTTTTGTTTTCAATTTTTTTGGTGGTGCTGGAGTTTGAACTCAGGGCTTCATGCTTGCTAGGCAGGTGCTCTATTACTTTTTAGCCCCACTTCCAGCCTTGTTTTGTTGTCCATTTTTGAGACAGTCTATGTAGCCCAGGATGGCCTCAAATTCAAGATCTTCCTGCTTCAGCCTCCAGAGTGCTGGGATCACAATGTAAGCTGCTGCCATGCCCAGCTTTGTTTTACCCTTCGAAGTTTCTTTTTTGTTGTATTGGGGTTTGAACTCAGAGCCTTAAGCTTGTTATGAAGGCACTCTACCACTTGAGTCACAGCTCCAGCTGGTTTTCTAAAAAAGCTTTCCTCTGTGTATCAAGGGCTATAGGACCTCCTACCTACTCTGCCTGAGCACGGCATGGAACCTCACTTAATTCCCGTACCAGGTGACTACGTCTCAAAGAGGCTTAGCAATTCGCCTTGAGTCATCACACTGGGACAGGACCCAGACCTGTGTGATGGCTGGCTTTAGAATCTCTGAGGGCAAAATCTCAGGGCCCTACCGCCGGAGGCTGATCTGGCAAGTCTGCAGTTGGGCCTGGCATCTGTATTTTAAACAAACACCGCAGGACTCTGAAGCAGCTAGCCAAGGTTCCCTGATCCAGGAACCAGGCTTGTCCTCTACCCCAGCATCCTCCAGGATGACCAGGGGTCAGGTGCCCTGCAAGCCCACTGGCACGATGGAGAAGCAGAGATCAGGAAGGAGGCAAATTGCCCAGCAGGATAAGTTACCCGAGCAGGGTGCAGAGGTGGGGAACTCACCATCTGGTCGGCCAGCAGCAGCACTGTCTTGAGGCTGAACTTGCGGGAACAGAAGTTGAAGAGGTCCTCGAGGCTGGGCCCCAGCAGCTCCATGACCATCACGTTGTAGTCCCCCTCGGCCCCACACCACTTGATGGATGGGATTCCCACTGGGGCCAGGGAAAAGGGACTGTCATGGGCAGTCACTCCCCACCTGTACCTTCCACATCCCACATGTCTGCACCATCCTGCCTCCCCTCTTCCTTCACTGCTGCAACCCCACCCCTCAGCAGGACCCCGCCTCACCTCCCCCCTGCATCATCTTGTAGAACTTGCTCTCGATGTGTAGCTGCGGGTGTTTTGTTTTCACACACTCGAGCTTGATGGCCACTTCTTCCCCAGAGGCAATGTTGGCACCTGCCGGGGCAGAGGAAGCAAAGGATCAGGGTCACCTGTGGCTGGCCAAGTAGTCCCCACTTAACATGTCTGAGGTTGCTGTCCCTGGGCCCAGGGCCACTGGGGTATCTACCCCTAAGGAGCTTGGTGTCTCTTGGGGAGAATGGAAAGAAGGTGGGGACTGTGGGGCACAGGGGGGGAAGGAGCTCAGCAAAGGCTTCCTGAGCATGGGGTGACAGGGGAACTGGTGAGATATCTCAGGAGCCTGATGCTGGAGGGGGCCTCAAAAGGCTCAGACCATCTTCAACTATAGAGTTGAACTATAGACTATCTCAACTATAGAGACAGGCCAGGTCACTGGGGTGTGTTGGGCTGAGGTGGTGTGTAGAGAAGGGGCCAGGAGCCCAGTGGAGATTGGTGTGTATATTCCTCAGGATGGGGATGGGCCCAATAATAATCCCCCCCACATCAATGCTGACACCTTCAAAGATAGTCCCACGCCTCTGACCCCAACACCTGCCTCTTTCTTTCACTTTATCCTCATCCCTATTACTTAGATGAGAAGAAAACTAAGACCTAGCCAGAGTCATGTGACTCTACAATATGGCAGACTCAAGGGTGAACCCCAGCTTGGCTGGCTTCTGAGTCTGGCATGAGGGCCCTAACTACACCTCTGCCTCTCCCCAACTCCTTGGTTCTCATGTGCAATCACGAGGGCCCCTGCTTAAGAAAAAACCCTCACACACACTGAAGTCCTTCTCTCGACTGAGGTCCAGCCTATGGCTCAAGAAGTTACAAGAGGCCAGACACAGGCTCACACCTGAAATCCCAGCTAAGGCCAGCCCAGTCAAAAAGTGCAAGACCCTATCTGAAAAATAACTAAAGCTAAAAGGCCTGGGGGTGGTGGTGGTATGGCTCAAGCAGTAGAGCACCTGCCTAGCAAACTCGAGGCCCTGAGTTAAGAAAGAAACAAACAAGTTGGGCAGAGGTGGCTCACACCTGTAATCCTAGCTACTCAGGAGGATCGCAATTCAAAGCCAGCTCCAGGCAAATAGTTCTCAAGACCCTATCTTGAAAATACACAACACAAAAAGGGCTAGTGAAGTGGCTCAAGTGGTAGAGCACCTCCCTAGCAACCATGAGGCCCTGAGTTCAAACCCCAAAAGCGGGGTTGGCAGGTGCCATGTTGGCCACAAATGTGGCAAGAAGCAGCCCCTGAAATGCCCAAGCAGGCTAAGGAGATGAATGAGGAGGATAAGACTTTTAAGCAGAAACGAGAAAAGAGCAGAAGAAACTGGAGGAGATAAAAGTGAAAGCACAGGGAAGGGCCCCCTGGCCAAAGGTGGAATTAAGAAATCTAGTTAAAAAGTCAGCTGTTCTCGGGATGAAGTGGCCCTGACTCCATATTCCACTCCTGTTTAAACACCTGGATCCCCTGCCATAACATTTTTTTTTTGCCACCGACAGCTACAATGAAGTGTTGTTGTGCATTTAAGAATAAACTTTTATTTATAAACAACAACAGAGTGGCTCGTTGTGCCTAGTTTATCAGCTGCCATCAGCCATTTGAATCTCAGCCATGAATTTAAAGTAAACTCAGCCTAGAATCCTGCCAGCTTCTGTTCTTTGGTCTTTTTTGTACTCTGAATTCTGTGTTACCTCAAATTAAACCAACTCACTTGAAAGGTGGAAAACCAACCAAACAACAACAAAAAGAAGTCCCAAGAAAGACCAAATCTAAAGGGCACTCAGTTTCCCCAGCTCCACAGGTGAGCTAGGTTGGAGAGTCAGGTGTTTCCCTCACAGGGCCAGGAGGGACTCTAACTGCAGGAGTAGAGCAGTTGTCACACTGGCCCCCATGCAGACCAAATAATCAGGAGACACAGACATGAGAAAGCTCAGGGCAGGACAAACCAGCACGTCCAATCAAGAAAAGGCTGGGACCAGGTAAGAGGCATCTGGGCACAAGTGGCTCACACTACAGCCAGGAGAAACACCAAGCACAGCAAGAATGCTCCTAAGACATTTTTTAAAAAGAGCATGACTGGGCATCTCAACCCCTTGACTGGGCAACACCCTCCCCAGCACAGCAGGGAGAGGACAAGGACACCACGAGAATCACCCACCCAGACGCCCAGCAGTAGCAGAGGCTCAGAATGACGTGATCACACAAGGAATTCCAGAGGACAGCAAAGGGGTGGACAACAGCTTCACAGAGCAGCAGAGCCATGCCTGGTTCTTCAACTTGGGTCAAACAGTGGCAGCAGCCTCTTTACAAGAGCCAAATGACGGGAACAATCTGCATGTCCAGCAGAGGATGGAGAGATGGAATGGGGCCATCCATAAAATGGAGTATTATTCAGCCACAAAAAGGGATGGAGTGGCTGGGCGCAGTGACTCACGCCTGTAGTCCCAGCTACTCAGGAGGTAGGGATTGGGAGTTTTGCAGATCAAGGCCAGCTCAGCCCCACCCCCCCCCAAAAAAATTGGTGAGGCCTCCCCATCTCAATCAATAAGCCAAGTATGGTGGCATGGGCCTGTCACCCCAGGTATGCAGGAGGCCATAGGTAGGAGGATCAAGTCTGAGGCTGGCCCCAGCAAATGAGGCACTAACTAAAGCAGAAAGAGCTAGAACCATAGCTCAAGTGATAGAGTACTTGCCTAGCAAATGCGAGGACCTGAGTTCAAACGCCAGTACTACCCGCCAAAAAGAGTGGTGAAAGTGCTACCACATGGATAAGCCTTGTAAACATGATCCTGGGTGGAAGGCGCCAGACTCAAAAGGACAAACAGTGCAGGACTCAATTCAGAATGCCAGAAAAGGCAAATCCTTAGAGTCAGGAAGTAGAACGGTAGTTGCCAGGGCTGGGGAAGGGACACGGGGAGTGGCTGCTTGGTGGGTATGGGGCTCCCTTCCAGAGCACAGGTGAAGCGTGCTGGAACTGGATAGAGTTGTGGTTGCAAAGCACTGCAGTAAGTGTCACTGAGCCTCTTGTGCTTTGTTTTTGAGACAGGGTCTCATTACCATATAGCCCAGGTTGGCCTCAAATTCTTGATCGTCCTGCCTTAGCCTCTTGAATACTGGGATTACAGATGTGAGCCACCCTGCTCAGCTTTGAACTGTACACTTTATATACAGTTTATGCCGGGCCCTGGTGGCTCACACCTGTAATCCTGGCTACTCAGGAAGCAGAGATCAGGAGCATCATGGCTCAAAGCCAGCCCAGGCAAATAGTTCGCAAGACCCTATCTCAAAAATATCCACCACAAAAAGGGCTGGCAGAGTGGCTCAAGGTGAAGACCCTGAGTTCAAGCCCCAGTACTACAAAAAAATAAAACGGAAAAAGCCTATTTTTATGCTATGTGAATTTCACCTCAATTTTTTATAAAGGTAGAAAAAGCAAGTGACAGATAAAGCAAGGTTCTATTTGTCTCCATTTCAAAGCACACAACACTAACATATAGTTTACGGATATAAACATGATAAAACTCAACTAAAGGGAGTAATTTAAAATGTCAGCTGGTGGTTACCGCTGGAAGGGGAAGGAGGAGGGCAAGGTGGTGAGGGTCTCCAGGGGCCTTTAAGGTAACGGGAAGATCCTTCCCTTTCAGGTAAGTGCTGGGTAGGGAAGGGTCCCACGTAACTTAGGGTGAAGCAAGGCTCCTTTATCCCTCATTCAATATCCAAAAGCCATTAGGGGAAGAAAAGCTCCCTCCCCTCCAAAAAAAAGGTGCCTTCTGTGTGGCAAAACCACCAGAAATAAAGCCGAAAGAAAACCTGCAATTCGTCTCCCAGGCAAAGCTAACAGATAATGAGCTTCCACAAATCCATAGGAAAGACTCGACAGGAAACAGGGCGAAGGACGAAGGACGTGAGCAGGCACTTCCTTGAGAAGGAGATCATTAATATGAATGGCTTACTCATAGCAAAGGATGCTTGGCCTCCTTAAGAGAAATGCAAATTCAAATGGTCCCCAAAGACCATTTTTCAGCTAGGATTGTCAGAGCCCCAAAACAAGATAGCATGTTTGTTTGTTGGCAGGGCCACAGGTGGTTGGCTCTGCTCCTCAGGCTGCTGGAGGGAGAACGGGCCGACTTCTAGAGCAGGAGTGGCAGTTTTGCCATGGCCCAGCTCTGCCCAGCACCTCCACTTCTGGGGGTTTGGACCACACCCTCTCGTGGTGGAAATGAGGCCTGGACAAGGCTGTCCACTGTAGACTGTTGCAATGGCGACAACCTGAAAACCACTGAGGACTGTTGAAGAACAGCCTATCTGTACAACAAAACCCAATGGGAAGAGAATGAGAAAGCGCTCTCGTGCAAAGGTGGACCATCTCCAAGACACAGGAAGTGAAGATGCAAAGTACAGGACATGCATTCTGTGTTCTCTTTTCAGGTACAAAAAACCTGGGGCAGAAGTATGTGTACTTGGCTATGTGAGAAGGATCAGGCTGGGCACAGGGCACCTCACTGGTTACCCGGTTATGTTGTCACTTACTTCAATGTCCTGGTTGAGATGTGACGTACACACTGCAGGTGAACTGCACCACACCGTGGCTTTGAGTGTGTTCACGAGGTTGTATAACCAACAATCAATTCTATGTTTTCACACTCCCCCCCAAACACCGACACCCTTTCGCATCACGCCCCACTTCCTCACACCGCCCCCCGCCCAATCCCAACAACACTAATCTGCTCTCTGTCTCTATGGATTCGCCTGTGGTAGACATTTCATAGAAATCAGACAACATGTGATCTTTTGTAAGCTGTTCTTAACAAACTTTTCTGTTTTGGTTTTTGGTTTTGTGTGTGTATTTTGATTTTTTAGGGGTGGGTACTGGGGATTGAACCCAGGGCCTCACACTTGCTAGGCAAGTGCTCCTCTGCCGCACCACATTCCCAGCCCCCTTCCCCTTTCTTTTTTCTGATGGTAATGGGGCTTGAACTCAGGGCTTCCCACTTACTAGGCAAGTACTCTACTACTTGAGCCCCCTGCCATTTTTGCTTTAGTTAATTTTGAG